GCCTGAAAGAACTGCCAGTGTGTCAATTCATGTAATGAAAGTTATTCACTCCAGGTCTGGTATCATATTCTTAGAAGAAAAAAAACATCTGGCTCACAGGAAGTATTTTGTATTTCTGTATAACAAATATTAGTATAAAGTAAACAGGACCAAGTTACTATGGCTACAAAACCAACAAAGAAAAAAATAGAAAGAAAGTGAAACTGGGAACACTGGGAACGGCAGTCCAGAAGCATTACAGATGTGCCTCCTTAGCATCAACAATACCAATAAAATGAATAAAAGAAATGTTATAGTTTACAGTAATATCTTTGAAGTACATAATATATAAATGGACATGGCCTAAATACACATGCTGCTACAAAGATTTTATTTTGCTGTATGGTCTGCTGTCTCCTACTGTCACGATCAGGCTTTGCCCTGTGTGTTCTGTGTCTTTGTTTCTTTCTGTAGTTCCTCACTCACCTAATCAGTTCATTCAGTGCACCTGCCAGTCACACTTAGCTCATTACTCTCACCTGCTCACTCTGCCTCTTCACTATTTAAACCCCTGCCGCACTCACACCCACTGCCAGATCATTGTTTGTTTTCCGACCTACCCGCCCGTTTTGCTCGTCCTGTTCCCGGTTTTCCAGTCTGCCTGTTCTGCCTTTTCCTGCCGGATTTTCCCCCTCGTCTTTTGTCTTGTCCCTGGATTCCCTGTTTGTTTTTGGTTATCATTAAAACCTTTTTTCACTACACCTGACTGTCTGCGTTTGAGTCCTCACCATGCCCCGTGACACCTACTTGCTCTCTAATGGCAGCAGGAAATTTTCTGGCAACGCTTCGGTTCTCTAATGCCCAAGAGTACAAGGTCAATGTTAATTACTACCAATTACCCGGAATTTTAGCTAATCATTTGGGCCTTCTATGATGGCAGTGAATAGTGCTTTTTTTCTGACCCTCTTTCAAAACCTCCTATAAATACTTAACTGAGATCATACTGAATGAGTCTATTCAGAGGGCCATGCCATATGGTTAACATCATTCTAATGGTGACTACTTGTGCCTCCATGACAGAGACACCGTCAACTTGGAAGAAGCCGGTCTTGGGAAGGAAAAAAGAGAAATCTTTTACATTAAAACATGCCGCACTGATTTAGCCACATATTACCTAGATTTCTCATCAGGTTCATCTGTTGTCACATGAGTTCCACATGTTGGTGTAGCTAAAAAGGGCTAGTTTCTCCACTGTTTATGTATTCATGTCTGAGATGTGGAGAACATTTCTGTGCAAGGTCCCGGGAGTAATCTCTGCAAAGCGTCCCTAAAGGTTGAGCAGAGATAGGAAAGAAACTCGTCCAGACCTCTGCCCTCTCTGTGCAGAATACCCCACAGAAGCATTTAAAGCAGGAGGGAGTGGATGCTGTTAGTGGTTTTTGAAAGTCACCGCAGGAGGATGAATCTGTTGAAATATGTTGCCACTGCTTCCTTTCACTTTCTCTTTTGGCATTTCCTTTTGTCTTAATCTCCTTTCTCTGATGTAACATTATCCATTTCTTCTGCAACAGTTCTTCTTATGTTCCCGCAAAGATCATTATTTCTCTATCTTAACAGGGTGTCAAATATATATATATATAAACAAAGGATAAGTAGAAAATAATATGCATTATGTTTCTTTATGTAGTTGTTTTCAGGGTTTTTAACATCCTCGTGCATGCTACGAGATCTAACTTGAATCTAAATATGGTTTATTTCTTGTTAAATTATGTTAGAACCACCAGTACAAGGATTTATTTGGCAGTCAGCAGAGTCAAGTCCACTCTAAAGAAGTGTCAACTTGCACAGCAGGATAATATTGCTTCTTAAGCCTCACTGTGACAAGGCTATCTTCTTTCTCCAAACTCTCTCCAGAATCTTTTACATTAATTTTACATGGGTCAGTCTATTTCCTGGTCGGTAACATTCCTCTTTGTGTCGAGAAAACATCCATTTTGTCTTTAAGGGCTTATCGCATCCATCTCATTTTCTCGCACAAAATAAGTTACATTTTCATCCATCTGCTGACCTCATTCTCGGGGCAAGGCGGAAATCTTTGAGTGGAATTTTCTGTGTGTGTACACTCAGCCGTCCCTTGGATGTCGCTGGCATGTCTCCGAAGCAATTTTCTCAACTATGAATAATTCACCAGATATTATTCCAAAGGTCATCTTATAGTAATTAGTACCCTGCTGTTGACTAAACAGCCACAAGGTACCTGATGGCCAGTTTAATTACAATTTGAAATGAGTGTACTGTTTGACAATCTCTATATGTTCTCGTGACACTTCAACAGATGACACCTTGAGAACTAAGTAGGCTTACAATAAGTTGGCTTGTTAGCACATGGGGATGGAGGGTGTGTGGGGTGAGAAAAGACACAAGCATTGGGTGCACTGTTAAGATCACAAAGTATTTTCTGTTCAAATATGCAGTAATTACTGGAAATGTAGTCGGGTATGCATGTGTTTTGACAGTGTGGACAGCTTCTGCACTGTCACTGTCTCATTATTAGCCAATTACCATGAAAATGTAATGGGGCAGGTCACAGCCGGGTCTCATAAGGAGATTGGGGACTGAACATATGCTGAAGATGCTGCAAGATGACACAGTCCAGCAAGCCTTTGGCGCGTTACGAGGTACATGACATGGCTCTTTGTGCTGCGCGAGTTAGGAGTCAGTGCCAAGAGATCCTGTCATGTCCTGTTGTCGTGAACATCAACCTCTGCACCATACTGTAAGCTTGAGGTTTCCTCTCTGAGGGGCTTGTATGTATTCATAAGAGATCTGTGGATAAAGCAGTAAGGCAGAAGGGCCTCAGGTAGGACATGTAGCCCAAGGGGATTGTCGAAACTGTTGCAGAGTTTGCCTTTGAGGCATCAAAGCTGATGGATGGATGGATGGATGGATGGACACATGGAGTGATGGATGGGTGGGTTACATAGATGGATGGATGAATGAATAGATACACAGCACAGGTGTGTAACAAGCTATTGCCAAAAAGGTAAAAAAAAACAACGAAAAAACTAAAATGCCACGTACAAAGCTTTCTGTATCTGAGGCCGAATGAACACATGAAGAGTGAGCAGCCTCCAGGTATCACTGAGGATGCTGAGAGATGATGATGCAGAGTGAGTCCAAGGTAAATCAAAGTTGACATTCTGAGCAGCCACAACGCATGAATGAAAAGATACTTTTTTCTTCTCCTGGCATAAACTGACATTTACTTCTTGGCCCTAGAAAACAAAATGCTAAAATTAAGGTTTACTGCGTTCTATTGATTTTCCTATGAAATTCATAAGCTGCTTCCTAGATTCTATGATCTGATATGATAATGGCTGGACAGTCTAATGAGTAGAGGTGCGACCTTGTGATGGGAAGCTCATTGATTTGTATTGTTGGACCAAATAAAAAAATGTAGGAATAGATCGATGAGTGTTCGTCCTTCCGAAACAGAAACCCTCAAAGTGCCCTTTAGATTCTAAAGGTGCCTCAAGCTACATTTTAGAGGCCTGATCATTAATTCTTTTGATCACATGAATTTGACGTATATTGACACAAGAGTTTGACTTCAGCAGTGTGTGTTGCTTTCTAAATACATCAGAACTGCTCCAATGTTTAAAACATAACTGAGTTGTCTTAGTCAGTAAAACATGCACCGTGATGGAAAGTAGTGACGGGAACAATATTCTCAATGGATCACATGACTAATTAAATGTGGGTCGCTGTCGATCAACCTACAGGAAATCATCATTTGACCTAAACTGCAGTTCCTGTCAGCTCCACAGAGCTTTATAGTGTCTTTCAGCTCATTGTTTTGGTTTTCCTGATCAATGTAATTTGATCAGGAAATTTATAATGTTGATCATGAAATTTACATTTTTTAGTATTTTTGTTCTCATTTCATTGTTTGTGGCTGAAGCTGTTTTCAATGAATGCTACCAGCTCAGCACCGAAACAGCGAGAAACTAAGTAAAGATAGTAAAGTATTTAGCAGCACAAAAGCCAGATATTTCCCTCAGGAGTTGGTGGACACTAAAAAGAGTTAAAAGGAGAGTAAATATTGAACATAAGTCCACCAGGAGGCCAGAGACAGGACTCCAAATGAATGCTAATGCTACTCCGTATCTGCTGGATGTTTGTTCACCATATGAAATTTTGAAGATGACACTATATATGTCAATGTTGCCTTAGGAGTTTTTTCTTCTTCTTCTGCCAGCCAAAAGAATCTGCTACTTTGAATGATGAACTTGAGGTATCCATTATTCTTCACATTTCAGACACTTACAAATGTACTTGTCATTGAGCGCAACGTTCAGGAAAATTTGAGGTTCCAAATCCTCTGTGATTTTGTATGAATGTGGCAAAATCCACAATCATCAATTTCAGGTTAAGCTGATGCCCCTAGAGGCAGAAAAAGAACAGCTGTAGTTTTGGATGTTTGTGTATGTACCCAGTATGTCTCCACACTGACAAATGCTATTTAAATACAAAAGAAGAGTGTTGTGGTATTTCCCCATATACCATAGAGGCGAACAGAATCACTCAGTTTTGTTAACTGTAATTATGACATTTAGAAAATATGAAAAAACAATACAGAGCATCTTTAAACCTTAGGAGATATACTGTATAACTGCTTTTTCCTTAGCTGGAACTGTGAAAGTAAAAGCCCTTTTGATCCTACTCTGGGTGTTGGCTGTGCCCCTTATCGTGTTTAATAAGGGTTACATATTTTGTTCTTTTCCCATAAATATACATATATGTCATAGGTTGAGTTGTTTCCCCCGCGGTATTAATTTTCAGAAATGAAGGTGAAATGCCATGTCCAACTTGATGGGTCTTATATCATTAGCTTGTAATTGCCATAATTGGAATACTGTGACAGCATGCTCTCATGTCGCATCTATCACTGATTTGACAATGCTCTCAGAAGAACCTAATCAAACAACAATGTAAAGTGAAGGACAAGTGTAATACGTGCATACTTTAAGGACTCGATATTTAATGGCTTAAGTAAAATTCAATGACAAGAAAAATCATTTCACCATACGGAAGGTCATTTTTTTCATAGATTTAAATGGGATATCTTACAAAGGCATGACAACACAGACTGTATAGCTTTAACCGACCAATACAGATTTGCCTTCTCTCAAAGCAAAACTTGACCTGACTCACTGATGACTAATTTACAAGCATACAAGCAGTTTTATACCATATTTTGATATAGTTTTTGTAAGATACATTTGTATACATAAAATATTCTGGCAAGGTGCATGCCAGTACACACATATGTGCACACACACACGCTCATACATGCAAGGAGACACACTTTCTCCCTCACACACATACAAGATCACCTATAAACACATTCGAACACACTCTCACCAATATTATGCATATGTAGCCATTTACATTACAAGAGAGATTGTCATCTCATCACTTCTCATGTTTTCCATTTTTTCTTTGAATCAACATATCGAATTCCAGTATGTAGCCTTTAGTCTTTACTATATGTGTCTTTGCAGTTTGTCATTGTTGTAGTAGTTTTTAGGGGTACTGCTATGTACAGTTTAAAATCCAGACAGAATAGATATTTGTGTGTACGTAGAGGCAAAAGTGGTACGCACAATTTACAAAGTTTGAAATGTGTACACTGTAACATTTTGTTTTGTTCCAAAGACACACAAACAGTTAGAGCAGTAAACACCAATACTGACACTGAATCTAATGATGGATGCATGAACTACATAGTCAAGTGTGGCCTTGTGGAGGTCCAAACAGTTCATGCAAATTATGACACAAATTGACATGGTAATCATGACACACGTTTTGAATAGAAAAATTCAGAAAATAAAAAAAAAGATTTCATGTATACTGTCTTTACTTTTAGGGCAGAGAGAATTAGGAAAAAATAGGAAAAGAACAGGGAGAGCCGAAAGTGAGGACCTGTCATCACCCTCCTCATTTTGTGTTTTATGAAAGATGACAAAAAAATGAAACAAAAGCACATTCATGTGGTATGCTCCTTGTTTGAGAAATAATAAAAGTACAAAACCCCTACTTTTACCTCTAGAAGGGCAAATGGTAGAACAAAGTGGGACAAGCAGCAGACAAAAAAAGTCACGTTGGTGTCAAAACCAATATCCTACAGATGTACATTCATGCAGTTATTATACTATTCCCTCTAGAATTTGTCTTTCAATTAATGTAGCTGCTGCAATATTACAATACACAGAAGTTATGTGGGCAGAGTAAGTTAAAACAAGTGAGGGTTATAGAAAGGTAATATTGTGCTTACTGTACACATGTGATTTGGATAAATTATTTCAAACAATCACATTATTATGACAGTGTGACAGTGTATTATCCCGTACATATTTCATGGATATTTTTACCCTCCATGGTATGAGGAAGGACACAATTTCCTGTGTCATATCTATAAACACTCCAACAGCAGAGTGTCTGTTCTTATTTATAGTGAAGGGGAAAGTTTCTTAAAAACCTAATTGTTATTTTTCAGATTTTTTTTTGTGGGAAAGATCCAACCAGGAATTTCTTTGCCCTACTTTTTTAATTGTACACAGAGACTGAAAATACTTTTTGGGGCAACATTTGGATAAAAGAAAAGAAAAATGAAGTGTTGGATTTGCAGTTGTCAGAGTGATACAATTCAATTTTCAGTGACATCATGATGTATGTTCCCTTTGATATGTGCTCCTTTTGATTAAATATGTATTATTTATACCATTTGGTGATATATGTCAGTACTATAACATTGAAATGAGATGACAAGCAATAGAGAAAAAAATGAGCAAATAAGGTGAAATTGGATCCCTAAACTGGGACATTTTCATAAAGCAGTGTTTATAGGAGGATTTATTTTAGATGCTTGTTTTGAATTAACTTCACTTTCGTAATTGACTGAGGTGAAATTGAATTGCCCCTTTTTCCGTGTCCTTGACAGACTGTTCCTTTAAGTGATCATTTCACTGAGTCTCAGATAAATCCTCTTTATAATGATAAGATTCCTGACCCCAAGTATCAGAGAGAAAAGGTGTGGTAGCTAAGAGCATGCAAACACAATTTCCCTCGCGCCTTCCCTCGAGAATGCCGCGTTGCATTATAGATTTAGGCCTGTTCCAATTTGCAAGATAGAGAAAATGAATCGCATGAATCATATACCTGATGTCGACACATGACTTGGATGTTGCTGAAAAAAAATATCAGCAAAGTCACTTATTGCTGTAGCAATAGAGTATGCTGCACCCAATCTGTTACAGCAACAAGTTAGTCTGAAGTAGTTATAATCATCAGGACAATTTACACACACAGGCAGTGATGCAGTGCATGTATGAATGAATTTGCATTTTCTATTATTCCAGTGCCAAAAAAGAGTGAAAACTGATAAAAAAAAAAAAAAAAATTGCCGAAATGAGTTGCATAAAAACACATAAAGTAATTAATAGTAAGAAGAAAAGGTGTTATCAATGATAGGGTTGGAAGAGAGGGAGTGTGTAAAGCTGCTATTTGTTAGCGTTTGTCACCTTTTCATTGCCTCCGCACATGCAGCGCATGTTTCTTGCTAGCCAACAATTCCGAAACCAGAATGACGGTCGCTGCTGAGATCACACATCAAAGTAATTGGACTGAGAATTTCATAATTAGCTCCATAGCTGTTATTACCGTATGCGAGTGTTTCTGAGCAGCGAAATGTGAGAAAAAGAAACAAGGGAAGGAAATAAAGCGTATGTTTCCAAAGCGCTAATCTTTCAAGGTTAAGCTGCTGAGAGAAAATGCAAGGAGTGAACATTTTCATAATGGAGTTGGCAGAGATGGAGCAACCATCATATGGAAAACATCTTGGGTAAGTGTGTGCATGTGCAGGAGTTTTTTTTTCTGTTATATTTTGTGTGCTGGTCCACGGTGAAAATGTAGAATGCAAAAAGTTTGCCGGTGTTGTCTACTATTGGCCTAGTTATGCTTTGTAGACTTTTTTTTTTTTTTTTTATCCTTCTGCAGTCCCCTGACCAAAATAGACTTCTGAAACACGTTCAGGCGAGACAAAAGAAAAATCCTCCACCACCAAAAGAGTTTGTGCTGCGTGTTATACAGAGCGATACGTCACTAGAACTTCAAGAGAAACATCATCCACTCAGAGCTCATAATTAACAGTAAGCGCGATTTAGCTCACCTAACACAAAGTACTGTATTTGCAAGTGTTTCTGCACACATAAATGGTCACTATCGGGGACCAAGAGGCTCGAAGCGTTACATTGCCTTTTCTTGTCACAAAGCAAACATCACCGAACTGAAAGCAAAATTCATTTTTTTTTTTTTTGTGATGGAACTACTTTGGTATAGAACTACCTATATGTATTATACATGGGCCTGTTGTGTTGAGACTTACATTACCTTTCTAATGCTTTAGCTGTAAGACTCACCCCCTATGGTTCTGTCTGAACAACATCATCATGATCGAATCCATTCTCATATGTATTCATTAGTAAAACTGAGCCGGAGCTGGTCAATTCAAATGATGCATACCTCCATACGTACGCATACATACTGATCATAAAGTCACTGACAACAAGCCGTCTATGGATGGAGATCTGTCTTTTACTCTTACAACTGGTGCTCATGTAAGAAGGAGCTGCTGCCCCCTCCAGTGGGCGTCTGCTGCCCAGGAGAGGAGAAGCTCGCCAGGGGGATGACCTTGAAGGGGTCCTCTTTCTTACTGCAGTGTCTATCCAGGGTGTTGTAGAACTGTGGCCGGTTGATCCCTTTGTCCAGTTCATCTTTTTTGGGCACAGACCTGCCTAGGGTATGGCGGCCATCCATGACCCCCATGCTGATCATGTTAGCTTTGGCTCCCCGGGCGCAGCTCTGCTGGAAGCCAAAAGAGGGCATTGTACCGGTGATGGTGGTGGTGATTGGGGTGGAGGTGGGGCTGTTGCTGCCAGGACCCTGGAAGTGGGCCAAGGCTGGTGGCATCCAGCAGCTGTCGGAGTGGCCCAGTATCAGACACTCCTGGGTACAGGTCTCAGAGGCCTCAGCCAAGGCTTTCTGTAGGTTCACCTCGATAGCTGTAAAAAAAAAAAGAGAGGAGAGGAAAAAGAATTAAACAACACAGTTAATCCAACAGGTCAAAACATACAGAGAGTGCAGTTGGAATGCAACAATTTTACCAGGGTGCTGAGGAGCACTGCATGAACTCATGAATCACAATGTAAGTGGAAGAAAGTTGTCATCTTATCAGCATTTGACCCAGAAAATGTCAGCCTTTTATTGAAATGAAAGTCAGTGATAAATGTTTTGTTTCATCTCGTAATGAGAAAAACACCAACAGAGCATTTAATTTCCATTGGTATTCCCATGACTCTGTCTGTTTACCTACAATATGCAAGGAATTCCCTGCAGCTTAATTAGAGTTGGGAAAAAAAAAATGTCTTGCTGTCTGTGTCTCGTATTGGCTTTGCTGTGTTAAATATTTAATGAACATCTTAACAAAGCCTTGTTTATTTTAATCACTGTCAATGTGGCACACCTTAAGCCCCTCTGGACAAATAAGAAAACTCATACAAAGAAATCCCATCACCCCAGTATCCTGTGAGCAACTTTAGCATATTCAGGTACAATTCATATACATGCTTAATTGTGGCAGCATCTATAGTTGCATGCATGGAAGGGAAAACAAAACTAAAAAGTGAACGAGGAGGCCACTGAGCAAGGCTAAGCACTCAAACTATCTTATCTCATTATCCCGGCACTGACATCATATGTGGAATGAGTCTGGGATGAGGCCTCAACATTGAGCCTCAGCAATAAAGCCTGTCAGGCCAGATAATTAGAATGTAAAACAGCGGGCACCAAGGCAACTAGGAGCCTGCAATGTTATGTTTCCTAGGCCATGCAAAGGAGAGACGGGTCCTCATTCAAACATCACATCGCTCCTCTAGGCATCAGCTTCAAGCTGTCATGTAGAAATTATTTAGTATATTTGCATAAGTAAGGATGCTATAAATAATAAAGTGTTCTTAGACCCCAGTACACAGGGACGGCTATTCCTTTACGCGCTCAAGTTCTGCATGCTCCGTGTAATTCGATTCCACAAACATCCGCAAATCTTCTCGCCACCTTGTTTATTGTTTTATGGCATTCTACTAAATATAAATGAATATTCTGATTGCGTTAGTGATACCAGCTTGGCCTCCCAAAACTATCGAGATTGTTGTATAACGGCCCAATGCATTTCTGTATTTCCACGCAGCCGCAGATTGAATAGAACAACGTCGACTTTAATTATAAGAGCAGTGTCTGAAAATGAATCACCTGGTATAAATTGTGAGGATATATTTGGAGTGCCCACATGGAGTCAAATCTGTCCTCTCCATATTGAACTGGAGCCTTGGAGCAGGAGTGTATAAATCCCCTGGGCGGTAAATGTGTCACCTTTCAGAGGGTCACTAACTTCATTAAGGAAAAAATGGATGCTGCCTTCTTATTCTCTGAGCTAGCACAATAGGGCCGAGCCAAGTCTCGGCCGTGCCCTGACTCAATCTCTCTCAGAGTGTTTTCTGCCACTAGTAATGCCTTTCTCAGGGTACCGTCATTTTTGATGAGGTAATGCTATTAGCATGAACTTCTTATTCCACAAGCGTGCACAAATAAGTGTTCCTCGCAAAAACACACGAAAGGGCATCTCTGCCAGATTTCCTCCCTCCTCCTCAACTTTAAATGATCAGTGCAGCCAGAGGTGAAGCTGTCTTTAACGTAGTGTACTTTACAAATGAAAGGGAAGTCTGTGGCTCTGTGACTTCACACAGTTTGAACTCATAGCAGTTCTGTTTCAACAGCCTTCACTGCCTCTCAATTCTGCATGCAAAATTTCACATCCAGACGTTCCAAAAAAGACATGGGTCTGTACTATTTTCTATTCCAGCGGGATAGTGTGGATAGGCGGTGGCAGGGTGGGGAGGGTGGAAGCACGGTGTGAGTGATGTTGCTGACAGCTCTGGCTGCTTTCGTCAGCTAGAGGTATGCCGCAGCCTGCTTGTGATGCCGCTGTCTTTTGTATTCAGGGGAAACAACTGTACCCCGCGGAGCTTTCGGGAGGAATCACACATCACTGACGCCATGGATCCCCTGATGCTGAGAACATTCTTTTCTACGTTCCCTTCAAGGAAATTTGAATGGCAGACAAGTGGGGATAATGGCAAACAATTGGTTGTGATAGACGGCATGGCTTGGATCAAACCTACTGTTTTCATTTGAGAACATTGAAACAAAACTGTGATACCTGTTTAGTTACTCTACACTAGACTTGACTGAACATCTAACACAAGTTCACCTGTAATCAACCCGAATAACAGACTGCTGCTGACTCCAGGAATGAAGTGGTATTCAATTCATGTTCTGATGCAAAAAAAGCCTGCAAGCGAATTACACTGCTTTGTCATAAGGTAATATGATCAATGGTCGTGTTGTGGATTTCTAGATGCTCCACAGTGCCCCCGTCCAAGGTTTTCTCGTTGATCCTGTGGTCATATGCAAGGTCAATACCAGCAGTAGCCTACAGCAGTCTTGTTCTGCAACATCAACACATCCTTTGGCCAGCAATGGATTGAGCACTGCTGCATCCACCTTCAGCTGACCTTCCATCTGTGCGGTCAAACATTACAGCTTGTATAAACATTGGACATGTGTAAGAGAGAGGCCAGAGCATGCTGCATGCCACTAAATGGAAATACCGCTTCAAATCTGACTGGACACACTTAAAATCTTTTAATTTAAAAATACAAGAGGGTTGGACACAATAGTTTGAATGCCTGCAATATTTTGCAATCCAATTTATTGGCCCCTCTACATGTTTTTGAGACTTATATTACTTTATTATCTAGTTTAGTTTGTGTTCTAGTAAGCAGGGGAAAAACAGAACATGAGCACAGGTATCACATGAGCCTCTTTCAATCGAATGCAGTCCAGTACACCCCGAGCCTACTAAAAGCTGAATAAAAGCCCTTCTGAACCAGTCTTAACAAAGCCTACCTCAAAAATGCTACATATATCGTATTAGCTTGTAATATAGTGTACATATGTTTGTATCCAGCCCCTGTTTAAACACATTTTGTAATAATCCAACCAGCTGGCATGCAGGGGATTCATCAATAATAATGTCCCTTTAAGTGCAGCTCTGATAGTGAACTGTCCCAGACAACAGATTCATGTTCTAATTTAAAACAATTAACTGCTTTGTATGCACACCAGCGTCTCACCTACAATCTTTTATAACAGTGGTTAATACAGGATTATTCTGGTAATATTTGCTGTGTTTATGGCCATTCCTGTTTTTGGATATTAATACAGGTTGTAATGCTGAAATAATCAGCAGTAATTCAACTTTTCAGGGCCATGCTGCTGCCTGTTATTGAGGTTACTGTACACAGTTGGTAATATAAAGATAAGCGGTTGGATTTTGGCATCAAGGTAATGTAATTATTTGTATAGCCATGATAAACAGAGCAAGGCTCAAACTCATGAGGTTGTTCAAGAGCTACGTTACCAACCAGATTTCTGGAATGTTGACACTTTGTTTCGCGTTATATTTTACCTTTTTATTATGCTGGTATGCTTTAAATCTCGCTCATTTCTTTGTCTAGTGGCCATGAAATCCACTAATGCAAACACCAGCTCTGACAGGCAGACACACGCGCACACAGGCTAGGATGCACATTAGCTTCCCAGTATAATAGCATGAGATATTTAACATGACAGTTGATGATATTTACTGACAGAGCTAGTTACATCTTGATGAGCTTCACATTAAGGTCTGCACACATATCACGATTCAACTTATTATTTCAGCATGCACAAACTCATTATTGCTAATTAAAAGGATAATTGCATGCATCTAGGACATTAAATTCCTCAAACAGCCACCAGGAAGGTGGACTGCGCCTCAGACTCATTCTGTGGTGTTAATTGGTGCAGTCTTTTCATTCTTTTAGCCTGAAACTTATATTCATCAAACTCACTCGTATTGTCAAAATGAAAGCTTTATCAAGTGCTGCAGACTTCCTCCATGTAAGCATGTACAGTGCCATATTTAAAGTATATTTGTTTGTTTTCCAGCATGTTATTATGCCAAGAAAATAAACCTTTCACCATCCGAAGCATTCTCACCTACAGCTCTGCCCCTCTGTGTCAATTCAAACAGGTTTAATGGTGCCAGGAAATAAAATAAAAAGCGTAGAGGCTGATATTCAGCTGTATTAGACATTGTATACGGCCAACATGTCTTTCATCAAGAGTAAAAGCACCATCCTAGAATACTGCAAGTACTGCAGCTAATATGAGTGCACAAATATCATCATTATCATATTATGTGTTCTTGTGTGATGGGGGATGAGATGAGACCGAGAGAAAGACGAGAAGAGAGGTGATATGAGCATGTGTCTCGAGTCTGGAGGGAGACCAAAAGACAGAAAGACAAGAATGTGGAAGATTCCTTCAAACAAATAGAATCACAGTAGAAATAATTGGGTTTGTAATTACCAAGACTTTATCACTTCAGTAGGCCTTATATCCACTCCAAACGTACAATCTGGATAAGCAAATGGATGGTCATTAATAATAATAGCGCTATTAAAACCTTTTGGTGTTGCACGGAAAAGAGAGATGCCATTACTTTCATCACAGCTCTGGCAATCATCATTTGAAGGAGAGACTAATGCCTCACAGAATAACAAATACAAGACAGACAACTTCAATTCAAGATTCTATTCAGTCCGCTTTCGGAAGGAATGAAAACTATATGAAATACTAAGAAGTCCTGATTATACATGACTATGATGTATGACATGGGAATATGCAGGCTTGTTGACAAGGTACGTGTCTTCTCTGGAAATAGCCCGTCTCTATGGCAATGTGACTAAAAATTAACTTTCCTCTGTACGTCAGACTCGAATGCTATTTGGTTTTCTTTACCTTTATCAGGATACAGTATAATCCTCGTGAAGGCAATAAGAGCTGTCATTGTCACTGCTGACAAGGGCACGGAGGAGGAAGTAAATATTCCATTGCAGCA